GCTATTCATTCATGCTTAACAAAACACTTTTGTCAAAACAAAGCAAGCAAGATTTATCAAAACAAGTATAACGTAGCTTTATCAATAATACCACTCACCTAGTTCTTCAGGTGTAGACTCAAAGCAAGGATCAAGGTCCTACAATCACATGGCAAATCACATTTCTCAAAACAAGCTTTATATGCATGCAAATGATTTCGGCATTCTCACCGGGTCCAAGTCAATAACAAAGCAAAACCAGCTGGGAGTTTAAACACTACTCCCGTCTCATGAAAACACACTGGGCACCGTCCAGGCTCTTGCCGAGGTCCCATCAAACAAGATCGGGAAAAACCTGGGTTTCCCTTTTGAAGAGTATGAAGAACATGATCATTTGAAAGATGGATGCAAGCTCAAACTCGTTACAAAATTAGAGGTTTCATGCCAAGATTTCAAAACATAGATCTGGGTACTCACGCAAGAAGGTTATGCAAGAACAAACACAAAAACATGATTTTCGTTCCAAACTTTCGATCAAAACGAGGCTTTCTTCAAGAACACATGGAAAACCATTTTCTCTTTTCAAAACCAACTTCAAATCGATGCATGACATGCAAAACGAGTCCAATCATGCAATGCAGCTAGATGATCAACAACAACAATCAAAGTAGATCAAGATTCTAACCTCAAAACTTTAATCCAACGGATCAAACCACGAAGATCAAGCTTGGAAGATCACTCTCACTCAAGAACTCCTCTTCCTTCTCTCTAGAGCTTCTCTCTCCAAAGGCAAGGATTTGAGACAAGAAAATGATTTGTTTTTGGGTCTGCCGGCTGTCTTAACAATCAGCTCGGACACGTGGCGCTGCCGGGTTGGTTCAACTCAAAAAGGTGATTGATAGATAAGACAAGTCTCTGACAAAGCGTATGCAGCAAGCTCGGTAGAACACATCGGCAAGTAATGACATCGGCTCAAATCAAGGGTCCGGCAACAGGATAACAAAACATCGGCTAGGGAGGACGACACTTGACTAAGTTGTGCCACACCTTGGCCAGGGTGTGCCACATCTCGGCCTAGGCCATACCTGCCTGCGGACAAGGTTCACTGAGTGCAAAACATCTCGGCAATAAATGCCCGAGGTGAAGGTGGGGGTCAACCAAGGTCTCAAAACAGTTCTAAGTACAAAGGTTTCAAGGCGAACTAAGTTCAAGGCGACCTCGGCCACACACACACTGAACAAGGAACAAAGGCACGCAAGCAATACTTAAACAAAACAAGGCAAGCAAATCCTTCAAATTAACATAACAAGGCAAGATCATGCGGGATGTATGCAAGCATGACAAGTGTAAGGTGAGGGTTGTTACAAGATCCCTCTTTCGTCCAGGATTCTTATCTCTTATCCGTTTATTTCGGATTCCGGCATCTCCGCAAATAATTTCGGCCTAGCCAAAATCATCTCGGCAAACATGATCAAGCCACGTGCTGTCATTCATAAAATACTTCCCCACATTATGCCACATGACTTTCAATGTGTCACTCTTTGTCGAATGTCGGACATAAATTAACTTTTAGAATAAATTAAGATAAACTTAAAATATGAAACGCCAAATGAGAAGAAAAAATTTAAAGGTTAAAAGTGGAAAATGTGCCAAACATAAAGTGGGAAAATGACTAAATATAAAGGTGGCAAAGTGTAATTTACCGTAAAAAATAAAATACCTAATCAATCCCAAATTATTATATGCTAAACCCTACACATTAAGATTCTAATTAAGAATTGCAAAGATCTAATTCTGTTGAATTACAAAACACTAGTAACAGTAATAAATGTAATTACAATAGTTAATAATAACATCCAAGATTCAGCTGCCACTCATGAAGGGTGCATCGATCTTGTGCAGGGATCAAATAAAGTACAATACCATAGCAAAATCATCAAACCGTTAATAGAAAAGCCTTAAAGCCTGTTATGTTTTTAATGATATCCTAAAACCATAAACATTTTGTATTCCAATTTATCTCACTTACATATTTAGTTCTCAAAGGCATAATTCCAAGAAAAATGTTCCTGATGGAATGCAACTAAGCTACAAGAGCACTGATGTTCATCCTCTCTTTCGGATACTCTGCAGAACAAGTGACTCCAATTTGCAATATTGAAATCAGGCAGTCTCTAATTTTTTCACACCTAGCACAGCTTCTGTTGTGCAAGTTCCAAGTGCTAGTCTCTTCTTCTCCTCCTTGAAAAAGCATTGGATCTGCAACGTTTGCCACTTGATGAGGCAGAGCCAGCCTAACAAACTTATGAAGGTTCAAGCTATCTTTGAACATGTCATCGGTGGGTCTCTTCGCGGTGAACATTTCTAACAAGAGAATCCCATAGCTCTACACATCTCCCTCTGTTTACTCCTTACTTCCCATAGCATACTCTACAAGAAACAAACCAGAGAATGAAATGGTCAAGACACTCAAATCCCTTCTAAAAATAAGTTGTTTCATCAGAAATTGTTAGATAAATGGGTATGGTGATAATATTTGAAACAATAGAAAATATCACTTCAAGACGCGTTACAACGTCTCTGTCCTTAAGACGTTATTTGCCCCTACAAATAGTGCAACGGGTAAGGGCAAATCGTCTCTAGGATACAATGCAGCCCAGCCGAAACTGATTATCAATCAGCACTTTGCACTTAGGGAAAATTGACCCAAAATACCTTTGGTGATGCACAAAATAGAACAGGTTCTGGAATTCTGTTTCTGCAGAAAACAGAACCCAGAAGAAGAAGAGAAAGAGTAGTAGATTGCCTTTAGAAAGCCTTGTAAAAATAGGAAGAGTAACCTGAATATTTTCTACCCATTCTTGGATGCCTAATTATCTATATATAGATCAGAACATCTCCTTTTGAATTTGAATTAAAATTACTGTTAATAACAGTGATAAACTGCTACTAAACAGTTACTCTACAATAGTCATAATGACAGTTTTGAAATCTGACCCTTTAATCGCATTTTGTAGCATTTTAACTATCCAATCAAGATAGGAAAACTTTGTCGTCTCTTCCCTATGTGAAACAAGACTTCATAAAGGCAATAACAAAAAGAAGCAAAAAACTGAAAAAAACTATAAACCCAAAACAGCGTTTAAATATTTTGAAAACATTTCAACAGAAAAGACCATCAACGGTTTGAATAAATTAACACCAACCTAAATTCTTATGAAGTAATCAACAATTAATATTTTTTCCTTAAAAATTGAAAAGCAGTAGTACATTGTTATTTGTTTCACCTGATAAAACAGTGACATCACAAACAAATTTCTCACGATTAATTTATCATACTAATCAAATACCATCTCATGCCAAACTTAGAGGCCAATTTTAATAGAAACCTTCAATACACATATTACTCAGAGAACAATTAGGTTTTCAGTTGTTTCAAATCGAAATGAGGACTAGCAAGAAAATGTCAAATGAAAAGTAGGGGAATACTCCTAAGTTAACTCTTCTTTTCCCTCTCATTTGTTTTGGCATTTGGAAATTGTACAGGCAATAGTAATCTTGTTCTTGTTATCTATTTCTCAAATTAATGAAAAAGAAAACATATTAGAAGTATAAAAATGGAAGCAATTTAGCAATTGATAGGACTTAAAGCTTGGTTTGGTTTGGTTATTGAGGAAAGCAATTCTTCAACATCAAATCTTCATCATTCTGTGGCCTACTTAGATTGTGTTCGTAGAAGGCAAAATACAAGGAATTCCATTTTTTTCCTTCTACAGGTGTGGCAATTAAGATATCTGTGTGGGAAGATGGATGTTTTCGCCACTTGAATTCAATATGCAAAATACAAATTCATAATGGAATTCTCCTAAGAATATACAGAAACAAGAGAATGGAAATTTAATTTATGAAAGGTGGGTGAAAGAATGTTTACCCGGAGCAGCATATCCAATAGATCCTCTTACTACTATTGAGCCTTGATTTGTGGAGAAGCTGTGGGTGGCTTCTGGTAAGAATCTTGCTAACCCAAATTCGCCTGCATGGCCAGTCATGTCATTGTTCAGAAGAACATTGCTTGGCTTCAAATCACAGTGGACTATTGGTGTTGGGCATTGATGGTGAAGATAATCCAATGCACAAGCAACGTCAATAGAAATATTTTGTAAAAAATATATGTATTATTGATTGATATCTGATTGATTACAAGATTGATATGTTACAATTCCTATACAATCTATATATAGAAGAAAATGTGGTAGTAGGTGTAGTGGAGGTGATAGTGGGTTAGGTGAAGTGGAGTGTGTGGTGAAGTGGAGGTAGGTGAAGTGGAGTGTGTAGGTGAAGGTAAAGATGGGAAATTCTAACATATTTAATCTCTGATGAAGATTTAATTTCTTTGGTTCATTGTCCAACTCATCTTCTCTGTTAACTGGATGCAACCACTCGTCCAGACTTCCATTTTCCATGAAATCATAAACCAGGACCTTAAAATCATTACCTTGATAATCAACACCTGAACAAGCAGTGAGTACCTTAATAAGTTTCCTATGTTTGATGTTCCTCAAGGCCTTACACTCGGCTATGAAACTTTTGGAAGCCCCATGACGTTGGAGGTTGAGTACCTTCACGGCAACAATTATTGCACCATATTCAAGAATTCCTCTGCACCAACCCAAAACTACCAACACCAATCAAATTTTCTGAAGAGAAGCCACCAGTAGCATTGAGGAGAGTTTGATTAAGACACTCTCAAGAGTGATTTTCTTAATGAAACTGAAGAATGATCTTTTTTTGTCTTTCTATAGCAACAAATATATAGAATGAACAACAAAAAAGAAAGCCTTAGAATCCCACTACATATAGAAATTGCCAGTTTTGAAGCCAGAGTTAGTCTCCTCTTTTTGGACCGCACGGAGTTGCACACGGACAATTGTAATTTGGGTATACCTCCACAAAGTTTGCGATTTCCCTTGACTGAAATTGCACTTGCATTTGTAAAGATACCTTTCGTTGGTACTGCACCCTCAAAATCATTGTTAGACAAATTCAAAATCTGCAAGAGTTTAAAAGCCTCGAGATATTCTGGAATTCTTCCCAACAAATTGTTGTGAGAGAGATCCAAAATTTGAACACTTCTCAAAGAAGTCAAAGAAGAAGGAATGGCTCCATACATAGTGTTTCCAACATTACACAACTACTGAGAATACCAGGAATTTCACCAGATAACATGTTCTTGGAAATATTCAAGTAAATACTGGAAGAGAACCTGTCAAAGGGTTTTGAGATAGGTCCAACTCTAATAATGAGGAGAGACCAATAGCTAGTTGGGGTAATGGCACATTAAGGTTGTTCTGTGCAAGGCTCAGACGCAACAAATTTATGCAGTTGCTCAGACATGAAGGGATGCTACCATGAAAATTGTTTTGACTTTAAATCAAGAAAAATAAGCAAATTTAAATTTCCTAGAGAGGATGGGATTAATCCCGAGAGTTTATTTTCATAGAAAGACAACTCATATAGCCTTTGAAGCTACGAAATATCAAATGGTATATTACCTGTAAATTGATTCTCAGACAGCCATAAACGTTCCAAGTTGATGAGATTTCCTATCCCAGATGGAATGCTACCTAATATCTGATTTTGATCAAGATCCATGTTTTGCAGATTAGTTGACAGGTTGCCAATGGTTTCAATCAGCATTCCTCCATAATTGTTATAGAGAAGATCAATTTCCACTAAACTAGAGGCACTGATCAAAAAGTGCAAAAGAAGTTCAAGTCACCGCTATGAACACTCCCAAGATTATTGAATGCTACTACAAACCACCGAAGTTTATGCAGCTTGTCCAAAGCTGGCACTCCCCCAGTAATCTCATTCAATGCTATTGCAAGATTGAAAAGATTTGAATTATTGGATATTGAAACTGGAATGGATCCAGTAAACTGATTAGACTCGATACCAAAAAAGCTCAAGATTTGGAAAAGCATTGCCTATTTCAGAAGGAATACTTCCTTTGATTTGGTTTTCTCCAACATCAAAAATATTAATAGTAGAGATATTGAAGATCGATGTTGGAATGGTCCCCTACAATTTATTTGCACCGAAAGCAATAACCTGAAGATTTGTCAATTTTCCAAAAGTGTCAGAAATACTCCCATGGAAATTATTTATGGTTGCAACAAATTTCTGAAGATATGATAGATTTCCATAAGAAGAAGGGATACCTCCACTAAGTTGATTATGTGAAATATGTATAACCTGAAGTTTTAACGAAGAGTAGTCAAACTCCACAGGAAGTTGCCCCACCAATTTGTTGTAAGAAACATCAAAGCGGATGAGCTTAGAGCAACCTGATAAATTGGCTGGTGAAAAGATTTGAATTATTGGATATTGAAACTGGAATGGATCCAGTAAATTGATTAGACTCGATACCAAAAAAGCTCAAGATTTGGAAAAGCATTGCCTATTTCAGAAGGAATACTTCCTTTGATTTGGTTTTCTCCAACATCAAAAATATTAATAGTAGAGATATTGAAGATCGATGTTGGAATGGTCCCCGACAATTTATTTGCACCGAAAGCAATAACCTGAAGATTTGTCAATTTTCCAAAAGTGTCAGGAATACTCCCATGGAAATTATTTATGGTTGCAACAAATTTCTGAAGATATAATAGATTTCCATAAGAAGAAGGGATACCTCCACTAAGTTGATTATGTGAAATATGTATAACCTGAAGTTTTAGCGAAGAGTAGTCAAACTCCACAGGAAGTTGCCCCAACAATTTGTTGTAAGAAACATCAAAGCGGATGAGCTTAGAGCAACCTGATAAATTGGCTGGAATTTCACCACCAATTGAATTGTTGTGGAGATGCAAGATATCTAGTCTTCTTAGGCGGTCAAGTTCTGGGGGAATTACGTGACCAAAGCTATTGTTTTGGAGGTGCAATGCTCTGAGAAAGCATAAGTTTCCAATGTATGGTGAAATGTTACCTGACAATTTCTGGGACCGAGATGTAACGAGACGACCCTCTGGTGGCGGCAGCGGCCGCATGTGACGCCAATCCACTGGCAAAAATGGGTGGAATGGTTCCTGGAAGTGAGAAGATTGAAGGGATCATCAGTTATTTGGGACTTGAATGCAACCAATGCTAGTTGATCTGTTTCATTGCTGCCAGAACCTAGACAGACAAGAAAGAAACAAGAAAACAAATGACCAAGATGCTATTAGACTACCCACTTGGAATGGAGGTTTCATTGGAAGAGTTTGAAGTTTAATCAAATCAATCAAGGATTGCAAAAAACTATATTGACCAACTAGAATGAATTTATTGAAGATAATTTAAAGGAGATTTTGCATTAAAAACTTTGCAAAATTTCTGTTGTAAAGTAAATTTCTACACTGATGAATGGGTTTTGATCCCTTCAATCATGGAGCGTGCTCTTCAATTCAAGCATTGATTAATTGCTTTTTAGACTTCGAGATTATTTCACCTTCAATATATATAATATGGATCATAGCTGTATGTCAGCAAAGAATGTCTAGGAGGGAGGCTAACTTTCGTTTGTGATAATCTAACAATTAACAACTATTTTTTATTAAGAAAAAAAAATTATATTTGTAGTTTTAGAAATTGATAAAATATCTTAAACTTTCAGGAAATTATTATTATTATTAGTCATGTGCTTTTGCTTTTCCAAAGCTAGAATTCTGAATTAGTCTCTGCTTCTAGGCCTACCACAAGTCCCACTCTCATCAAAGTAGTTCATTTCATGAGGTTTTGTGTGCAGATTGTTCATATTAAAAACAGAGACTGATATGATATTCATAACTATATGGCTTTATTGTGTCTTTTAAAAAATGTATGACAAATATAATTTTAAAAATTGATAATGTCACAAATGGGACCTTTGTAAGTTTGTACTTTGTGTAACACGTACATTACAGTAGTGTCCTCTTCTCTGTTTATATAAATGTGAGTTATTCAACTGTAGACTTTACATATATGTGAAAAAGAGGAATATACTACGATTATATACTCGTTACACAAAACATTATCTCAGATAATGTACATTAAAGGATTGTTTGGGATAATTTAAATAAGTATATTTTTTTATTTTTTATGAAAAGATGTGCAAAGTAGTAGAAAGGTGATGTGAATCAAATAAGAGCTGATATAACCTGAATAAGATAAAAAGATAAAAAAGTGTGTTAAAATAGATTATGCCAAACAACCCCTAAATAACTTTAATATCAAGAGTGCACATATAATACTCCTATTAAACAAGAAGAAAGGGGAAGAGACAATTGAACAACAGTTCCAGCATCTCAATGAATTGGGATTTTCAATTAGAAAGGCCATCACAAACCATCTAGGAGTAAAACAGTGCGTTGGGAAATAGATCCTCTGAACTTGTTCCTCAAACACAATCTCTTTGATTATGTTTCGTAAAATCTGGTCTCTGAAAACAAAAATTTAAAAACTGGTGGGGGAAAAAATAGGCAAACATCTCTTTTGTATGATTACTAGTTTCTATTTTTTTCAAAAAAAATTGTAGAAAACATGTTTTGAAAACCAATCCAAACAGAGTGATTCAAACTCTTAACTGCAATATACATTTAGGTTAGGGATTTTAAATCATTGATCCAAACACAACCTTTTAACAATTTATTTTTACATATTGAATATGATTGATCCCATATCCTAGTTACATAAAAAATAATAATAAAATCAAGTGAAAACTATATTTTAACATTGGTTTACAATGGTGTGAAACAAAGAAGTTTTCCAATAAATAAACAAAAAACAAAGAAGCCTTAATCAAAATTAAGAAAGTGAAGAACACTATGATTTCACAGCTACAGTACACAGATAATCAAGCACCAGGAAGAGAAATGGAGAAGGCGATGAAATCTCTGTGGCAATTTTCTTCTTCAATTGAAGCAGTAGTTGATGAGAGCGAGCAAGCTATGGTTAGAAGAAAGCCAATAGGAAATTAGGTGGGGGTAGGTTACACACATTAGTTGAACATTAATTACAATCGCATGGGGGTCTTTGTTATCATTAAGATCTAACTAATGTATGTGCGTTACATCAGATGATAAATGAAATGTGGTAAAAGAAAATGATGATTGTATTATGTAACACTACTATAACCAAACCAAACAAAACCAAGCCAAGCCTTAAGTCCCATCAAATGGGGTCGGCTACACTACTATAATATCAATTAATTTAATATTGTAAGAGGCTGCCTAGATGACCTCTTAAATAGCATGATGTTGCCATCATAGTCCAACCCAAGGTCACACATTCTTACTGAGTATAGACATTATCCAATATGTTTTCCAACAGTTCATTTGCTCAAATAACCTACTAAAATATCCACACACAAAAAAAAAAAAAAAAAATTTTCACCCGTATCAATTATAGAAATGGCTCAAACAGTGTGGAAGCAAGGCGACTAGTATTAAACTAAGACAAAAGTACTACATTCCAAATGATTTACTCCTAAATTCATCTCTATCCATGTATGATCCTACAAGAGTGAGCGTCTGATGAAATGTAATTTAGCTAAAACATCATTAATGTCCATTCTTTCTCTAGGCAGTTCTAAAGAACAATTGACTCCAATTTCAAGTATGATACTCAAGCACTCCACAATCTTTTCACCACTCATGAAACTTTTATTTTTTGAATTTTCTTTGCTTGTCTCTTCTTCTTCGTCTTCTTCTTTGGCCTCAAGAAGTATTGGATCTGCAACCTCTGAAACACTCCATGGCAAAGCCCCTTTTACAAAGCTATGGAGGCTTAAACCATCTTTAAACATTTCATCAGTGGGTCTCTTCCCTGTGAACATTTCTAACATGAGGATGCCAAAGCTGTAGATATCACCATACGTCGACACTTCACTTCCCATACCATATTTTGCAATCACAACACATCTTAAGAAAAATAATGGTATGTGCACAAAAAGTCACAAAAATAATGGTACGTGTGCAGAAAAAGTAACAGAAATATGCACAGAAAAATCAGTACGTACCCCAACTAATACATTGATTTTCCTTTCGATGTGTGTAGTGTTATTTTAAAAAGGACAATGAATCAGACTGACTATCATTGGCCGCCCAGTGATGATAGCCAACCACGCAGGTAGGCTATCGGCCAACTAGTCTGCCTGAACATCAGTTTTAGGAAAGAAAATTATTGAGAATAAATGAATTACCTGGAGCAGTATAACCTATTGTTCCTCTTATGCCAATAGATCTTGTTTCATTTGTAGACAAGTCATGGGTGGCATAATCTAGAAGAAATTTTGCTAACCCAAAGTCACCAACATGCCCAATCATATCTTTGTCCAAAATAACGTTGCTCGGCTGAAGATCACAGTGGACTATTGGTGTTTGGACCTGATTGTGCAGATAATTCAGTGCATAAACAACATCAATGATAATATTTAGTCTTTGAAGAAGGTTTAACATCCTGAGCTCTTCATTTGACAAATATTTTTTGGGATTTTGATGTAACCACTCCTCAAGACTCCCATTGATCATGAACTCATAAACCAGGGCCTTGAATTCGTTACCCTGATAATCTACGGTCGAACATGCCTGTAAACTAGTAAACACAGAATAAACATGTAAACTAGTAAACACAGAATATGCAGCGGATAAAATAATCAAATCATACCTTCTTGATGATAGAACCTTCTTGGATAAATCACGTGCTTCCTGGGAACTTTTTGATGAACCAACCCAGCAGTGGAGTGATATCACAGATTGAATATCACCCACACCAACCACAGTGTCAAAGACTTGATCGTTGCGTTTTTGGGAGAGAGTCAGAATATGGGTAGAAACAGACTCAACGTTGTTTCTCACTTGGATTACCCATAACCATATAACAGATATATATTCCAGAGCTAGTCCTAGAAGCCCAAATGGAATAGAGAGTGCTAAAATTAAGGCAGTGTTTGGTCTCCATTTTTTATCCACTTTAAAGTTGCATTTAGGAAGCTGCAATTCAGCTACACCCCCACAGAGCTTACTGTTTCCCACCACTGATATTGCACTTGTATTACTAAAAACACCTTGTGTTGGGACTACACCTTCAAAATTATTGAAAGACAGATTCAAATCTTGCAACAACCTAAAACCCTCCAAAAACACTGGAATTTCACCGGACAAGTTATTGTTTGCGAGATCCAACTCTCGAATGCCTCTCAAGAAACTCAAAGAAGAAGGAATGGTTCCGTTAAAAAAGTTAGTCCCCAAACGCAGCGTTTCCAGGCTTGTACAGCTGCCCAGAGTGCTCGGAATTTCACCAGATAACAAGTTGTGCGAGACATCCAAGGAACCGAGATTTACCAAATTTCCAACTTCCATGGGAAGAGAACCACTTAGTTGGTTTTGGGATAGGTCTAGATATATAGATAAGGATGAGATAGAAACAACTTGTTTTGGTATTGTACCATTAAGGTTGTTTTGAGAAAGAAACAACAATTGCAAATTGTTGCAATTCCCTAGACTTTGAGGAATGTTTCCCTGAAAATTATTGATTCCTAAAACAAGTTCACTTAACAAACTCAGATTTCCGAGGGAAGATGGAATGTTACCAGACAATGAATTGTTGATGAGATTCAATCCTGTAGATTTTGAAGCTTGCCAATCTCACTTGGAATAGTACCGGTGAGTTGGTTAACCTGCATATACAAACTCTGCACGCCAACAAGATTTACAATCCCAGGTGGAATGCTTCCGAATATCTTATTGTTGTCTAGATACAAAACTTGAAGATTACCTGAGAGATTACCAATGGATCCTGGCAACTCCCCCCCAAAATTGTTGAGATTCACGCCCAAAACCTGCAAATTGGTGGCATTGATCAAAGAAGAGATAAAGTTCAAGGCATCAGCTTCCCCGGATCCAAGCTGATTGCCAGAAATGCTTAGCCACTCGAGGTTTCGCAGCCTTTCCAAATTAGGAACCTTTCCGATAAGTTTGTTTTGAACCATTATTAGGTAATGGAGTTTAGATGAATTCGATATTGAAGCCGGAATTAATCCTGTAAATTGGTTATCACCAATGTTGAAGAACTCAATATTCGGAAGAGTGATCCCCAAGACCCATGGAAGACTCCCCTGGATTTGGTTTCCAATGACATCAAACATTGTGAGAGAAGAGAGATTGAAGAGTGAAGGAGGGATGATCCCGGACAACCTGTTTATGCCAATTGCGAGCTTCTGAAGATTCTTTAATTGGCCAAAACCGTCAGGAATGCTGCCATCAAAGAAGTTTTCCGCTGCAGAAAGTGCTTTAAGAGATGACAAATTCGCTAAAGGAGAGAGACTTCCAGTAAGATTGGTGTCGTGAATAATTACTGTCGCAAGCTTTGACAAGAAACCGAGATCCACAGGAACTTCTCCCACCAATCCATTGTAAGAAAAATCGATTTCAATGAGATTAGCACAAGACGATAAATTTACAGGAATTCGGCCGCCAATTGAGTTGTTGTTTAGTTTCAAAATCTGCAGCCTTGTCAAATGGCCAATCTCCAAGGGGATTTCCTCGCCAAAGCTATTGTTTTGGAGCTGTAATTCCCTCATAAAGCTTAAATTCCCGAGGTGTGGGGATATCGACCCCACCAGTTTCCGGGACTGCAAGTCCAACGCGGTGACCCTCTGGCCGCGGTGCTCACATTTAATGCCCTGCCACATGCAAAAGTGGATAGAGTCATTCCAAGAGCTCAAAATATGCAGTGGGTCATCAATTATTTTGGCTTTGATTGCTAGCAATGAAAGCCGGTCCGTCTCGTTCGAGCTCTGTATGGTAGCAGAAAAGCCAAAATTCAGTGAGCTCAAGCAGCATAAAAGTATTAGATGAATGTGCAGATTGTGAAGTAGCCACGACATGATCAAGCTTGAGCAAAGAAAAGGTTTGGCTGTGTTTTGGTGGATTGCTTTCATTGAAAGAGATGAAAATTAATCAAAGATATGTCATCATGGGTAGTTTTATATTAGAATTCTATTAGTGTAAGCAATGAATTATCAAAGCTAATCAGGTGCTTCCAAATGTCAGAAAATCATACATTTAAGTCACATCTAATGTGAATTAGTCAATATTTTATAAGTAATGTTACAGACCCTAAAAGTTCTACCAAAATTTCTACTAGAGGCCTCACATGGGTGTGGAATCCACACGAGACATTTGCTAGAAATTTTAGTAGAACTTTTGGAATCTATAGCATTTTTTATATTTTAATTAAGGCCTGTCACTACTCATGGAAAAAGAAGGTACCTCAAGGATTCAATGCATATCTCAGTTTGTGGATTTATATTAAATAAAGTTAGTCAACGACAACTAATTCAGATGGGTATGTCATGCAATGGATTTTCATCCTAGTTTTTAATGGGCCACAAGATGTTGGAACTTTGTCAGTTTGAAAATTAAAAAAGGAAGAGAAGAAAAAAATAGTAGTAGATTAGTAATTAATAAGAAAGTTGAATCATCAAAGCAATTTGATGAGAGGCCCTGAATTTTGTTGTGAGAGTTGAAATAACCATTTGAGGTGTGTGTAAAACCTAAGTTGTGTGTAAGATCATTTTATTGGATAGATAAGTAATTAAATTAATTTATATGGGTTATTTATTAATATCAAAGAATTAGTTATGAGATGACATTATATTTCCTATTACTTAGATGGGTAATTTTGTAACTTTGAGAAATTAGGTTAATAAGCCCACCTATTGTGGCTTTAAGTCTTGGAAAACAAACAAAACAAAGGCTGGGAATTGCTCCATAGGCGGCTAGGGCTTGAGAAGGTAAAAGAAAAAAAAGAAAAGAAAAAGAGAAGAGAGGTTCAAGTGAGGCTGCAATAGGGATTGGAGGCAGCACATTGGTGATTTTGGGATACACATTGGTTAAGGTAAAATCTGTCTTTACTGTTAATTATTAAGTTTATGTTGAGGAAGTTAACAAGCAATGCATTAAGGGGATTTGGAAGATCTATAGGTGCATACTTAGGTTTTGAGAATTGGGTGCAATGTGTAAGTGTAACTTTGGGTGGGTAATAGAAACAATGGAGTTTGTATCATGGGTAAGGGTGTGTTTGGCTATAAAGTTGGGTTGAATGGTTTGATCACTTGGACATTAAAGCAATACATTAATCTATTATGATGGGGTTTTTGTGGGTGTATGTAACACATAAAAATATTAATTTATTTGAGGTTTTGTTATTAGGTTTGTGTGATTGAAGTGGTGGAGCTGGGTGTTTGGAGTTGGTGTTGGAATATTATTTCTAAGCGTTTGTGTAAGTAACCCTCTATCACTGTTGGTTCATTTTTATTTCTATTGAATCGTTTAAAATTATAAGTATTTATTCATAGCCTTCATGTTCTCTTAAAATAAAATATGGGTCAAGTATAAAATAGCCTCGAATATTATTATGAAAATTATTTGAATATTTTATGGAACTATTATGAAAATTGTACTAAATGTTTATTTTGAAAATATCGAATATTTTATTTAAAAGTTGTGTATTGTTTAAATTTTAAATATCACTCTAGTCTGACTATGATTTGGACCCTAGCCAATAGGGGATATTTATTGGCATAGAAACTAGTTTCTTTTGGGGCTTTACCACCGGCCTATGTGTGGTTTTGGGCTTTGTCACAGGCTAAGTGACCGTAGTCACCAAGACTTGGGTTTTGTGAATTGCGTCATTGAACCATTGAATATCAAACCATCAATTTTGAACAACGAAATTTCGTCGAATTACCTCATTGTCTTTTCAATTAAAATGTATTGCTACACTGTTTATTTTCAGCTATGAAACCATCTTACAAAATAATTGTTCATTTATTGAATGGCAGCAAAAAATATATTTATTGGTTATCGACTATTTTTTTTTGGTATACTTGATCCAGCTAGCAGTAATGGTTGGTTATTTACTAGGTAGTCTAGCTTACCCTTATTTTATTTTATTTTATTTCAGATTCTGAGGAGTAGAGCTGCGCGAGATTTTTACTTGTGGGAGTACTGAGAGTAGGACTATAATTTAAGTACTTGGATTATTATTTTGTTAGTGGATTATATTAGTAGACTTGGTGGACAATTTCATATGATAAGAATTATCTATTTGTATGGTTTTTAGCATTATGATATTTAGGGATTTAATTTGAGTATTTTACATTGTTGGTTTATGTGACGTCCATGCTTTACTTTTTCTTTTTCGTTTTTTGGAGTGTATACACTGTTTTTGGACTCTTGTATTGTTTTAGCATTAGACTTATAGAAACAAATTTATAATTAATTTCACTGATTCAGTTGCTGGTCTTGATGAAGTTTTTCTATAATGATTTTGTTTGACTTGCTTTCATTGTCACTGTGTGCTGCTGGTTGTTGCTTTTCATTAAGATTTGCTCGGAGTTTTAGGAAGGCATGTGTATTTTGTTTTTGAGTTTGTTGGTGAGAGTTTTAGAAAAATGTTTCAATCGCATCCATACAACCTTGAAACCAAATAAACAAACAACTTCGTGATATCGATAAATTTAACTTAAAACAATCTTAATGTAAAACCCAAGTTATGTGTAGAATAATTTTATGGGATAGATTAGTAATTAAATTAATTTATATGGGTCATTTATTAATATCAAAGAATTAGTTATGAGATGACATTATATTTCCTATTACTTAGATGGGTAATTTTGTAACTTTGAGAAATTAGGTTAA